CTCTCTCTCTCTCTCTCTCTCTCTCTCTCTCTCTCTCTCTCTCTCTCTCTCTCTCTCGTCTTGCCGAAGGCGACCTGACGATTTGCAGTGTCTGTCCTTCTCCGCGCGCGTGTGTGTGTGTGTGTGTGTGTGTGTGTGTGTGTGTGTGTGTGCGCGCGGGCGTGTGAATGTGTCGGCCGGCCAGTTCCGTTCGCAAATGCAAACGAACGGCGGGCGGCAAATGTCGGGCGGGAGACATCAAAATGCCTCCACCCGCCAACGGTCTCCAAACACGGCAGGGAAGTGAACTTTGCGAAGTGAAAAAGGGGCCGGTCCGGCCGCCCTGTGCGGCCGATACCGGCCCCAAAAATCCCCCAAACATTTTTAGGGGGGCGCCCTGGACCCAAGGAAGAGGTCCAGGGTGGCCCCCTTTTTTTTTCGATTTTTGGATTTCAGCCCCTACCAGACAGGCCTCCTACGGTCCGGTGTCCAGACACCGGACCCCAGACCGACTGGATGGCCGTCCGGATGTCTGCATGGTAAATTCAATTTAACTGGAATTATGAAATCTGTGCCACGAGTTCCTCGACAGATGTATGCTGCTGAATGTGTAAAATCTTTTATCTGGCTTGCTGGAATACTGGATTGGAAGCATGTATAATATATAGTTTGTCACAGCCCCTCGTTTGTTGTCCTCTTCTCTCTCTCTGCCTACGGTTTACCGGGCAGTTCTGTTTGTGACGATATATATGGGTGTACTCCAAGCAGATACCATGTGTTCCTAACTTACTCTGAAATCAGTGGACCATCATGGGAAGATCTTGCGAAAAGAAAAAAGAAAAATTTATTCAGTTAACTTACTTCTCTCTCTCTCTCATGTTCTCTCGCTCCCCAGCCCTTATCTATATCTCCTCCTTTTTTCTTTCTCCCTGTGTGTGTGTGTATGATTTTCTTCTTGCTCCCTGGCCTTTATCTATATCTCCCCCTCTTTTCTTTCTCCCTGTGTGTGTGTGTATGATTCTTCTTGCATGGCTTTCTCATCGCCTTGGTGCAGTGGTGCTGAGGATGTTGCGCTGATCGAGTATGCACATTTGACCGGTAGACCGTACCGAGTATTCAGTTTGGATACAGGGCGTCTCAATCCGGAGACATATCGGCTGTTTGATGAGGTTGGTAGGAGTTCTCACACATGGGCGTTAACAGGCCATATGTTGTAGGAGGAAATGTATGAGCACCCAGCAATGTCCTTTTTGTCACAAGCGGTTAACAGGGACCCTCACTTTTCAGCCCCAGGTTAACCCGCCCAGCACAAGTCTGGATTAAAAGGTGTGGGACGTTTGTTATAATGACCCTGAAAAAACCCTCCTGAAAATTTAGGGCTCTCTTAACCGCTTCTCCTTTTTGTGTGGAACTACACTTCCAGATGCGAGTCCACATTACGATAATGTTGGTATGCCTTCTGAATGGCTCATAATCAATGGTGGATGGTTGAGTGACAATTGGACCGAAGTCCTGGCTTGCACTTCTTTTTTTTTTTTTTTTTTTTTTTTTTTTTTGTGTGTGTGTGTGTGTGTGCAGGTGTGCCTGCGTGAGTGCATTTGTGGGTGCATGTCTGTGAGCTTGCGTGCTTGTGTGTGTGTGTGTGTGTGTGTGTGTGTGTGTGTTGTTTTAAAAGACCCCAGATTCTCTCTCTCATTCCCTTCACAGATCATAACAAGCCATCCATAACGAAAAAAGTATAGATAAGCAATATAATAGAAAATGCAAGTTTGGCCACATTTGTGTGGTTCAGCGCCAAGTGCCCACACACCTATCTGTTGCCAAAGCGGCACACTTGCACATATACATATGTATACATATGTATTTCAAACCATAAGAAGGATGGAGGGCAGAAGGCAACCTACCTGAGACAAAAGACTACTCCAGCAAGAAGGCACCCACCCGACCCCCTCAAAGGTCCAAAAAACCTTGGAGAGCCTTTCGCATCGGGCCGCAAAACCAAAGACTCGTTTATCAAAAACAAACAAATATAACAGCATTGGCATTCCCGACATTCATCTCAAACCACACTCTGTGTGTGTGTGTGTGTGTGTGTGTGTGTGTGTGTCGGGACCATCCGCTGCTTCTTACATTGGCTGGAGAAAGTGATGTACTTTACTGTCATGTGCATTCATTCTCTCCAAGTGTGTTCTGTTTGAAAGCCCAAGTATAGAGGATGATACTGACGGCAAAGGAGAATGTCAGATGCCACCCTCTCTGCTGACAATGATATGGAGATACTGCTATGATTACGATAGCTTCATGATAGTGATATGATGATGATGATATGATGAGATTGGTAGTCAGACATTGTGTTTGTGATGTGAGTCTTGGGGGGCTGTTAGCTATCCTTGTACTGTCGTCTTCCCCCGAACAATAACTCACCACAATGGCAGCGTGTGGTGTTCGGGGAACAATGGAGAAGCTCCCTGACATTGTGTTTCAGTGGTCATTTCGACAGAAAAAGGTTGTCTGTCCCTTTTAAGTCGGTGGAACATCCTCACAGTTTTGCGTACAAGAGAAATCTCGTCCCACCAGATATGGTTTCTTCTTGTCGGTCGCCTTTGTGTTCAGTCATTCATGGATGGATGTGAAATCAAATCTGAAGGTGATGGATGATATGCTCTGGCATGCAGGTTGAGAAGAGGTATGGCATCCATATCGAGTATACCTTCCCCGATGCTCAAGAAGTTGAGGATCTTGTTCGAACAAAGGGGATGTTCTCCTTTTATGAGGATGGCCACCAAGAGTGCTGCCGAGTTCGCAAGGTAGGTAAAACCAAACCTGATCTATCTGTGGGAGTGAGGAATAATTGCCACAGGTCCTGGGATGTGTCTGGGATGTGTACATTTTGGGGCTTTCTGAATGATGCTTTTGACCCGGAACCTGCAGGTAGAAGGGTTTTAAAGGGGGGGGAAGGGGGGGGGGGGGAGGAGAGGGGAATGGGTGTAGTGATTAGTTTGAGGCTTTGAGCAAACAGATATTTCATCAGGTCATGCATCATATTTGGCAGCAATTTTTTGACTGAGACAAACTGCAGGGGTGTCGCGGGGGCTTTGTTCTATTACGGGGACTGTCCGTCAGTGCGCTTCCCAAGTCGTTTTATACTTAGTTAAAACTTCAAAGTTCAAACTGTTAAGGCATGTTTGTTTCGGAAGGCGTGGACTTTATAATCTGTCTATGTGGTTCGTTCTGTGTTTTATTTCATGTTTTACAAATTTACAGTCCGATTATTGGAGCATTTAACATTTCGGGCTACCGATCACTTTGCATTGCCAGTTCTGATTGGCAGCATGTTTCAGTTCTGCAGGCTTATTTTATCCATGTTGAGAAAGGGGAGGGTTATTCTGCCCAATTCTCTAATCCCTGGTCTATGATGTGGGAATAAATTTTAATCTTCCACCGGTAGATTTTGAGGATGTGGAAAAGAACTCTCACCTTTCATGGGCAGAATACGAGGAGGTGCATAATTGAAAAGTGTCTGATCATTCTGATGTCTCTTTCCTAGAAGCAGTGGAACACTTGCTGGGCACTTGACTACTGTTCTTTCTCCTGTGTAAGGCAGCATGCGCTACTCTTGTGATTGTTCACAACCTTTGCGACAAACCACAAACAGAATGTATCTGGAAATGCTGTCAGTGGGTACACATTCAAGAAAAGGAGCAAAACTGATGCTAGAAACCTGACTTTTTATTTGTTCTGAGTGTGTGATAACTGAGCTAAGAGCATGGGTCGCAATTAGTGTGTCAGGGGGGGGNGAGAGAGAGAGAGAGAGAGAGAGAGAGAGAGAGAGAGAGAGAGAGATTGCCCTGAGACGGTGAATGTTCTATCCCGATTAGAAGACCTACGTCATTACTGACCACATTTACCAGATCAATGAACAGGTTCCCGAACACTCTAAAATTCTAAAGTCATTGCTCTTTGCATGGGTCCTTTGTGGGGTCACTGGGGTGTGTGTATGTGCACGCACGTGCCACACACTTCTCTCTAGCAAATGTTTGCTTGTGTATAACGAGTCTACGTGTTCGTCATTGATGGATGGGCATGCTCTATGAAGGTGAGGCCACTGAGAAAGCACTTGAAGAAGTTGAGAGCATGGATCACAGGACAGAGGAAGGACCAGAGCCCTGGGACCCGAGCGGAAGTGCCAATTGTGCAGGTAGGCAAGTGGGTTTGCAGGTGGCTCACCAGGTTTTGAAAGGCTTTGTCTGCCTCTAGCTGCTTCGGGTACACATTTGACTTTTAACCTTGTTTCTTGTTGGCCTCCACTTCTGTTTGATGTCCACACTCTTCAACCCCTGCGTCTTGTCTATCTCTGCATGTGGTCGATTTTCACTTCTCCGGGTTCTCCCCCATAGCCCAGTTGACCAGTTGCTCTGCTCGTGCATGCAGATTCATAAGTTAAGGGTGGTTGGGGACTCTCGCCGACTTGGAGTCCAAGTTCTTCCTGTTATAGAAAGAACCTGCATCTGTATGTTTTTTCGAATGGCTCCCCTGTTTTGTTTTACGATGTGCGTTTGTGGTTGGAGGCTAGGTGGGAGAGAGGGAGGTAGGAAATGAGGACAGCTGGCTAGCTGGGGTGGTTGAATCTCTTCAGACTGATGGGGGATGAAGGTAGGGACTCGGGAGGGAGCAACAGAGAGAGGAATAGAACAGTACATGATGCTGAACATGGGGCTGACTGAGTCTGTGATATGCCCTTGTGAGAAAGAGGCTTCACCCCTGTCCTTCGGGACATCCATTAAAATTGGAACAATACAGAAAATGAAGATTCGCATGGCCCCTGCGCAAGGATGACACACATAAATCCACCTACCACAGGTGACGCAGACGAGGAATGAGAATGAGAGGGCAAGGAAGGGGATGCAGAGTCACTTGACTAGGTTACGTCTATCAGCAATTGCAGAGCATTGAATGCCCAGTCTGAATGTGGCTGGAGAGTGAATGTTCTACTGATAGTATTCCATGCATAATATACGTACGTAGTCCAGATGATGCATCTTTCTGTCCCCCCATTTGCCATGAAGCACTCACTCTCTTATTTTGTGACTTCCTTGAGTGGTGAGAGGCAGGAGGATGGTGGATCACTCATGCCATCACAGTTGCGAGTGGTGTTCAGCTCGGTATATGTTTCCAGGCGGACACCGTTTCTGTTCTATTGAATCTATTCTGGATTCTGTTCTATTTTGGACTCGCTCACAAAAGAATAAAATATAGTACTTGTGATATCTTTTGCCTGTATTTCTAGGTGGACCCTGCCTTTGAGGGACTTGATGGCGGCCCTGGCAGCTTGATCAAGTGGAACCCCTTATCGAACCAGAAGAGTGCTGATGTGTGGGGCTTTCTCCGGCTACTGGACGTACCAGTCAATGCTCTTCACTCTCAGGTACAGGGCCTGTCTTCTTTTTTTCTGTTTTTTTTTGGTCACCATGTGACTTCTACCTACTGTATGAGCTCTTCCTCCCCGCGTTTCTATTTTGTCATATCGGCATGGTAATCCATTATGCAGTCCGCTTTTTCGCCTCCCTCATTCTATCTTGCCTGTTACGGAGGGGCCATTTATCTCACCGCTCTCTTTCGACCTGGTCATTGCTTATCGACTCCCCTCTGTAGCTGTGTAACTTGTCATGCGATCTGGTTCGTACTTGCAGCAGGGCATCATTTAACAGATGCATCGTTTGACAAATTGCTTCAGGACTGCCAAGATTGGGGGGGGGGGGGTACTATTGACAAATGCCCACTGGACTACCAAGGTGGGGGTGGTAATATACTATTATCTGTTATCAAGGCTTAATCATCAGTTGCACACAGGCCTTTTGCATTGCCGGCAAGGTAGCAGGCTGGTCTATTACATATTCCTCTGCGATGTCTTATAGCCGTAGACGAAAGGGACGAATGAATGTGCTTGTAGCTCAAGTACCTACGCTTCATTTGCTTTTTTTCCATCTAAAAACAGCACAAATAGGCAGCGTGCATTCATTCAAAAACCACGATGAAACCAAGGCGTGATCTCACAGAGACCAGACCAGGGCTGGGACGGCAACCGGCTGGTTCCGCTCTCCCGGTCCAGCCGTAGCAGGACCAGCCCCGGGGGGGGTGAACCGAGAAACCGTTTTTTTTTTTTTAAATGCCCAATTTGGCAATTTGTTTATTTTTTTCAGTCAGATTCCAACTGCGCTCTTCGAGAGCTGTCGAAATCTGCAATAAAATTGTGAAAGTGCATTATTTATTGGGGGGGTTCGCAGGGGTGGGGGTGGGGTGGGGGGGGGGGGGGGGAGAGGATACTATTGGGATGTGCAGGGAGCTATGGCTTTCAGATGGAGGGGTCATTTAAACAAGCTTATTTATCTGACCCCCCCCGTGGCCCAAAAGTTTCAGTTCAGCACAATTATAGCTTTTCCAGAGTATAGCTCGACAGCAGAAACATTATGGGATCAGGTTTCAGCTCGTGCAGGCAGAGCGTTTTCTGTTTGTTTTTTTCTACATACTGTAGGTCATCAGTCTGAAAGTATCTTGCCTGGCGGTCTGTCCAGATACATGTAGTGGAGCTGAAGTCCATTCTAGATACATCGCGAGAAGAATATAGCTTAGGTCCATTCCTGGGCGTACATTTAAAGAGAGGATAACCATGCTGCTCGAGGTGTACGCCCAGGAATGGACCTAAGCTATATTCTTGACTGTGTGCTTCCATTTAAACACTATACTTGAAACACTATATTGTCACAGTGGGTCCATTCTAGATATAGCTTAAACACTATATAGCTTAAACAAGATATACTATATATGTACAAGCTATATTCCCTTGACTGTGACAGTATACAGTGGGTCCTCCCGCTGTATACTGTATACAGTCACAGTCAAGGGAATATAGCTTGTAGATATATAGTCAAGTATATAGTCACAGTCAAGGGAATATAGCTTGTACATATATAGCTTGTCACAGTATACTGTGACAGTCACAGTCAAGGGAATATAGCTTGTACATATATAGTCACAGTATACTGTATACTGTACAGTACAGTATACTGTGACAGTCAAGTATACTGTATCTTGACTATATACTGTATCTTGACTGTATACTGTATAGTCAAGATACAGTATACTTGACAGTATACTTGACAGTACTATATACTGTATCTTGACTATATACTTGACAGTATACTATATATGTACAGTATACAGTATACAGTCAAGATACAGTATATAGTCAAGATACAGTATACAGTATATAGTCAAGATACAGTATACTTGACTGTGACAAGCTATATAGTCACAGTCAAGATACAGTATACAGTCAAGATACATATATAGTCAAGTATATAGTCACAGTCAAGGGAATATGTACAGTATACAGTATACAGTCAAGATACACTGTATATTCCATTTGCGGAATATAGCTTGACAGGTCGTCCACCTGCAATCACCAGGCGAACACTATATATGTATACTGTCACCAGGCGAACACTATACTGTCACAGTGGGTCCATTCTAGATACATCGCGAGAAGAATATAGCTTAGGTCCATTCCTGGGCGTACATTTAAAGAGAGGATAACCATGCTGCTCGAGGTGTACGCCCAGGAATATAGTGTTTAAATGGAATATAGTATATCTTGACTGTGTGCTTCCATTTACACACTATACTGTCACCAGGCGAACACTATACTGTCACAGTGACACTATACTGTCACTGTGGAGCTCGAGGCGAACACTATACTGTCACTAGACTGTGTGCTTCCATTTAAACAGTGCAGACATTGCGCGCAAATCACATACAGGCATTGTACTCAGATCACATACAGGGTACTCTTTCCTTCCCTCCTTCCCTCCTTTCCTGCTTCACTCCTTCCCTCCTTCCCTGCTTCCCGTCTTGCCTTCCTCCATCCATCCATCCATCCATCCCTCCCTCTCTCCCACCCTCCCTTGCTTGCTCCCTCAGTCCTTCTCTCGCTTCCTCACTTGCTTGCTCCCTCCCTCCCTCTGTTCGTTCATTTCCTCACTCCTTGTTCACTCCCTCACCCTCTCACTTGCTCCCTCATTCGCATGCTCCTTCCCTCCCTCGGTTACTCGGTTACTCACACATACACACATTGAGAATTGAAGTACTCGATTGAATGCTTTGGGCTAATGGTGACTTGTTCCACTTGACAGGGTTATGTTTCCATTGGGTGTGAACCTTGCACAAGGGCAGTGCTTCCTGGTCAGCATGAGCGAGAAGGAAGATGGTGGTGGGAGGACGCTACGGCAAAGGAGTGTGGACTCCATAAGGTGCGCTTCCCTTGCTTGTTTGGTCAGACCCCCACCAGCTTGTTTGAGAACTCTTTGTCTCATTGTGTGGTGCATTGCCTTTTCTTTACCCTCTTCTCTGGTATATGATATGGTGTTTTGCTTGTTTTGCTTCTTTCTGTGTGTATCAAGTGTGGAGAATGAAGGAATCAATCTGAAATAACCATTCACTTTTCAATTTGTATGTTCTCGTTTTGTTCATGTGCCCGATGTAAGACGATGCAGACTGCTTCATTTATAGTAGAGAGGCAACGAAGCGCTTGTAGGATGCCTCGTTGCTTAATTAGAATAGAAAAAAAATGTTGGTCGACCGTACAAGTAGAATTCTGAAACGCGGAACAGCTCCCTAGCTTGGATTCGAACCAACGACCCAATAGGTTTAGGGTAAGCGGTGTGTGAAAGCTGACCAAGCTTCCTTCCTTCCTACCGAGTGCGTGCACAAGATTTCCAAGCACCCTTGTGGATCTCCATCAGTTTGGTGACGGCTGCACCCTTGTGGATCTCTGGTCTGAAAATGTTGCCCCTTGGGTGCAACTTTTCTTTAGCCTTTTCAAGTCCTCAGGAGGCCTTCCTTCCACAGGTCTGGGCTTTCATTTATTCAGCTGTTCTTCTGTCGCTTGTCCTCTTTTTTTTAACTCCCCATGATCCTTGTTGAGTTCAGGTAGTTCTTGCTCACAAGTGTTTACCAGCAAGAGAGGGGGCAGGAGGGTACATCTAATCGCCAAGCTCTAATGGGTTATAATTTCCGAAACCACTCGACCGATTTCATCCACTAACTTATAAACCGCCCCTACGTCCTGGTAGGCCTTTTTTTACTGATGCAAAATAGTTGATGTGCACCAAAGAATAGTGAACCATCCCGGGTGCAATGAAGAAGAAGAGAGGACTGCCCGGCAATAGACAGCTTTAGCAATGTTTTGTTTTTCCTTAGGCTGGGGCAGCCTCAGCCATTTTCTTCCGGTACCGCTGTTCATCCGAAAAAACTTCAAAAAAAGTCATGCCGCATGCCAACTCGCTCATTTCGACTTGCCTGGGGTGCATAGTGGTGGTTTAACCGTTTAAATCTACAGGTGAATCTTTTCTAGAGTAGAGAAAGCTTTACGCAATTGCCTGTGGAAAAAGGGGGGGCACAGTCCAAGTAGACACAGTTCATGTGGAAACGGAGCACACTATGCACGGCCTTTTTTTTTTAAATTATAAATATAATTATTAAATTATTATGAAAGGCCTTAATCTCGTGCAGGACATAATGTGGTACACTCATGAACTGCTGAAAGAGTCCAGATGCAACTAGATGGAACCCTGAACTTACCTGGAGCCTGTCAGTTCGAAGATGATATCTGAAAACCGTTGCCTTTTTTATAAAAACTTAAAAAGGGAATTCAGATTTCAAAACCTGTACGTGGTGATTAGCTAGTTGAGGGTTACAATTTCAAACCTGGTTCAGTGCAAGACCGTTTGGATGGAGAAATTGTGAGAAAACTCAGAAAATAACATTGTTTGGATCGTATGAATCAGCAGTGATTGATTAACTGTTACAAAACTTACAATTCTTTCTCTCTCTAACTTTATATTCATTCATAGGTCTTCCGCCTTGCTTGGGCCTGTCTTCTTCGCGCTCTTTGAAGGAAGGATCTGTTGTGCCCCGACCACTATCATGAGGTAGACTGCACATACGGTTGCCTGAGAGTGGCATTTTGTCACGAGCAGCGCAGTAGCTGACTATAATAATAAATTAATAATATAAAAAACTAAAGAGAGATGGCGACAGTCGTTGACATTTTGGGTACCACTGTACTGCCACACCATTAGAGCATGTGGTCAGTGGTGGTGTGCAGTCAGACAGAGTTTTAGTGCAATCAGTTTGTCTTCAGCTCAGTCTTGGTGTTGTTCGATCAGTTCTGTGGCCACCAGCACGGTGTCGATGGTATAATACCTGATCGACATTGCTGTTTTTGCCAAATTGCCACCGTGAGCTAGACCAGTAGTGCTTCGAAATGCCTCAAATCTGACAGGTATCATTTGGGATACTAGTGCTTGGTTGAGGTTTGACAGGACCAACTTGCTAGTCGACGAGTGCATTCCAGTCTTGCTTACATGCGTGTTGGCTCACGCACCATTGGATCAAAAAAAGTGGGACCTTCCCTCCTTAATACCCTCCTTATCTATTTGGAACAGGTCCCAATTGGAACTTTTTGAATAGTTTATCACTCCGACATTCTGTCGTTTTCCGTTTGTAGATGTGAGCCCTATTACTTGTGGTTTGAATCTTTGGAGAATCCCAAAGAGGGAGCTCTCCTGATGGGCATACATCGCCACTCACCGTCGATTATAAAGCAATGTGGAGACGACCTTCACCCTGCTGCCAACATGACATACCTTCCCTGATGGGAATGTATGATTGCCTCCCCGTAGTGGGTGGGAGGAGGGCTTCATTGTCCAGTGAGACTGGATCGCGCCAATGACTCTCTGGATATGATAGCAGTGAATGGAGTTGCTGTCTATGGGCTCTGTAGTAGGTGTGAGGTGAGCGATTTCTCAGTTAGGGGATACAGGGAGACTGGAACAGCGCAGAAGGCTGAGCTGTTTGTTGCACACGGCAGCCTAAATGCCAGGATTCGATTGCATTCTTTCCATTCCTCCACTCCTCCTCCCTCCACCTGAAGGGGTTAAAAATTAAAATTTCCCTCAAAATTTTCTAAATCCTCCCCCACCCCTCCTCTTTTAAATCCATAGCTTACCCTCCGAGGTGTGTGAGCGGTGTTGCGGAGTGGAACGTCCTGGTCCTAGGTTATCAATTTGCCTATGAAGTTTAGGTTCCAGTGTAGCAATCAGATCTTTAGGGTGGATTATCTTGAGCATGGATTATCTTGGGCGCTGGATCATGGGAATATACTAATATAGTAATATACTAGTATTAGCCCCTCACAGAACGGCGTCGATCTCCGATGGTGACAAGGGAGTATGATCTCAGCGGCCTGGATTGTGGGACCAGAAGCTCCTCATGGGAGGGTCTGTGTGTGTGATTGGGGTCTACACAGGGTTAGTGTGGTCTCCTGACCTATAAGGGTGTGTACGGCGCATGATGTATGCCCCGCAGCAAGTTATTGTTCATGATTTGTATAGACTATGTATAGACCAGCTGTGCATAGTCCGATTCTTTTTTTTGTTTTTTGTTTTTTTTTCATTGTCCGATTCTACTTTGTCACTGTCACATTTTTTCTGGTGAAAACGCACTCATGCTTTGGCTTTGTATTTTTTTTTTATGTGCTGTGATTGTGCTGTGTATGTTCTGTGTCTGTTGATCTGTGTAGGTACCGTGAACGTTCCATGTGTGTTCTCCTTGTGTCTCTCGTGCATCTTCCCTCTCTATGTCTGTGTATCTTCTCATGTATCTTCTGTGTGCAGAATCACATTAGCGGAGCCCCCTGTTAAGAAGAAATTAAGGTGGCACTGTGCCGACGGACACTTTCATAGCTTTGGAGGGAGTTGCATGCACCTGATTTTTTGTGATGGTCTCCTTTTTTTTTTTTTTTTTTTTTTTTTTTTTTTTTTTTTTCTTAAAGCACCAGTGCAGCACGCATTGGCCCGCGGGTGTCAGCATGAAACCCACACCACTTCGGAGGCTGCCGATTTTTCCCCACCCCCAACGGCACCCCTGGCCGCGCGGCGCCTTTGAGTTTTGCTTGTGGCGACAAAAACTTTCTGCAAGGCCGGCTGTGCACTTTGCGGTTTAAGGAGTTTCCTAATCAAGGAACTCGTTGCTTCCTTGTCGTGCCTTCCATTTTTTCGAACTGTTTTGCGTCTTTGCTGTTGTCGTGTACAGACCGGCTAGGTGTCTCTTGTTTTTTTTTAAGTTTTTTGTTTCCTCTTCTGCTCCCTCTAACCCAGGAGAGCACACGTAGCAGATGAGCTTTCAATCTTGGAATATAAGTGTATGATGCTGGCCGTCTTGGAGCCGGGCATCCAGCCTGATGTTTCCTGGGTATCTGGGGCCCAAGTTGCCATGGATTTGGGAACGATTCAACGAGATTTTTTTTTTTTTTTTTTTTTTTCAGATTTCTGTTGTGGCATTTTGTGCATGCCAAATGGAGCACGAATCTGAGCATACTTCTGAAAAACGTGTAACGGGTTCAAGGGGGGAAGGCAGGGGACTGAGGAGTGATATGCAGAGTTTAGAGGGGTCTAAAGGGGATACTTTCAATTAGTATTTAGTATTGACTAGGGTTTAGAGGGGTCTAAAGGGGACTTTCAATTAGTATTTAGTATTGAGTACTATTGACTAGATTTCAGACTTTTTAGTATTTCACTTTATTATTTTTATTTTTTTTAGCTTCGGTTCTGGTGAGAGTCTGGTTACGAAACCTCAGCCGGAAGTTTTGTAATTTTCAGTTCTTATTGGTTTGATGTTGAAAATTTACATGTTTTTGGTTTTTTTTTTTTTTTTTTTTTTTTTCCGAGTCTTTCGACACCATAAATTATTAAAATACATTAGTTTTTTTTTTTAACTGTGTTCATAAGTTTTCGAATTCTCTGAGTTCTCTCAGAAGGTAGTACATTACCCATTTTCGGCCAGCCCGGAACTCTTCGAGTCCTCTCAAAAAATAGAACATTCCCCATTTTCCGCCAGGCCGGACAAAACCTGACAGCTGGGAGGTGCCTGGACATCCAGGGATAGTAGCGTAGGAAAAGTCCAAAAGGTCTTTTCAGATTCTGAAAAGCTGGCATGCCATGCGTGGGGGGTTCTTTCTCTCCCTGTTGATAAGGCCAAACAATTTCGAAAACAATGGCAACGCACGAATCTGCAGTGATAGATGGATGCTTTTGCACGCTCAACGCGCTACCATGACGCGACAAAGTTTGTAGTCTTCCAGATTCTATAAAAAATTAAATCTATTTCCTATTTCCTATTTCCTATTTTAATTGCCATCAGGCCCAGCACTACAGGACTATGCCATGTGCCTTTACTGCTGTACCAGTCT